TGGGCCAGGCCGGGTCCCCTGGCGTGATCGCAGCACAGCAGCCGCCTCTTTGTCGTTGTTATTTCGGGGTTTTAATTAGTGTATCCGTCTCTGTTTGCGTGTTATAAGTAGGTTTGTGATTTTTTGGGGGGTATCTGTGGTGGATTTGTTTCTGTTCCACACTTTCCCGGTAGATGCCCTCTGTTTCTCTGTATTGGCTCACTGTTATACCGAGAGGCTGATGATAGCACTGCCTGGCTCCCTGTTCATCGTAACTGTCAGTGCTCTTTTAAACACTGGGAGATGTCACTGAGTTTTACTTTTCTTTTCTTAACTTCGGAGTAGATGATGGTGGAGCTACTCCAGTGCAAGATGAACGAGATTCAGGATCTGATGTTGAAGATGAAGGAAATGAGCAACGTTCTGGATCTGAGAATGGAAGCGTAGGGCACCATTCAGAGGTACTACTGGAACTTTATCTAGATAAAGATTTCTCTTTTATAAATTGATTTTTTTTTTTTTTTAATTTAAAGAAGCATTGTTGTTGTAACTGAGACTAATGAGTTTATTCAGATGTTCTTAAGTATCCTGTCTGGCAAAACTTCCAGAAAGGAATATGTCAGATAATCTCTTGACCAGTATGTAGGATAGGGTCTTTTTATGTTTTTCTCCTTAATTGTTACAATAGCATTCACTGTTTTGTACTATGAAAAGTATAATACTGTTATACTCAGTTGCAAGAAGATGAACTTTATGTGTTTGAAATTCTAAGCAATGGATTATGAGGAATTTGGAATTTTACCTCAAATTCTGCCCAGTAATGTAAAACCACATGTTAGGGAGGCATAGATTTTCTTACCAAAGAATATATGGTCTTCTATCTTTCCTCTCAGATGTGAGTGTTGACTCTCGAGTCTGTTTTGGGCTGTGTTTTTTACCTTGTCATTCACAAAGGGGTAAGTCTCCATGAGGAGCAGGTTAAGGTTCCTAAATGAGATCTGCTCTTCCTTTGAAGAGGTTCTTGCTTTGCGAATCCTACACCATGAAAAGGGCGGTAATGGTTTAATCCAGGGTGGTATTGGGGAAGAGTCACTTAACTTGTGGATTGTCTATTTTGTTTGAAAAGAGATTCTGATAAAAGTGAAAGTCCCCCTTAGATTTCTAGGATGACTTTGTGGTTAATCTTGAGGATTTTTTTGGTAACCTGAAGTAGAATTACATCAGGTCTTACTAGGAAGGAATAATTTTGGCTTGTGAACTCCTGTCTTCTGCTAGCAAAGTTATGTTGTGGAGAACTTTTTGATACTCATAAAACTGTAATCAAAGCTATTTCATTCTGTTCTGCATATTTTGTGGCATTTTACATAAAGATCAGGATTGACTCTGGGTTTTCAGTGGTTATCCATTTTAAAAATGGCTTGAAGTGCATGATGTGGTATCCTGTAGCGGGTGGATGTGTCAGATGGCTCAGCTCTGCTGTGGTGTAACTTGCAATCCTTTTTTTATTTCTCTCCACCTCTTTATTGAACTCATACTTTCCTCAGAGTTAGAAAGTAGATGAAGATTTTGTTTGTGTAAAATGAAAGTTCTTCCCATGTATTTGAATTAGCATAAGGCAGATTTGGAATTTCTTTTTTTTAAAAGGTCTTGATACTTACAGTGGAAGAAGCTGATTTGGTGAGAGGCAGCATCTCATATTATGACAATCAGGATTTCAGTGTGGGAGAAAATTTGTTTTTCAATGTGGGAGAATTAGCTATCTTTTGAAGGGGGTTAGTACTTCTGTTGTAATGAAAAAAAATATGGTAATGAGAGCATGGAGAGCCATGTTGCTGCTACGATAATATTAAACTTTTTCTGCTGTGTATGAAAACATTTGTTCTTATTTCTTCTATACTCCTGTGGGATTTTAATTTTACTTACCATGGCAAAGTAGTTGGAAATCTGATGTAGAGAACAGGTAGTTGACTATTACTTACATCTTCAGCATGTGTTTTTCAATTTTAAATAACAAGAAAGTACTAGGACCTATTATCATTGTTAACGGATCCTCTCCACGTGCCTGCATTATTTTAAGGCTTTTGTTCTGTGATGGCTGTTGAATATTCCTCTTAGATAAAATAATTCAGAAAGTCCATTTAAAAAAAAAAAAGAAAGATGAACTAAACACCTTTCTGTCCAATAGTAAATGCAAACCTTCAAACCTTAGTGCTTTATTTGAATCAATTCAAATCATAAACATTTAAGTATTTTGTTTTGTTATGAAGTCTTACATTCTTAGTTTTCCCTAC